TCTTCCCCTCAACACAACACTCATCATTTTGTAGTGAAAAGAGTGTATCAGCTTGGAGTGAAACAAATCTGTGTTTAAAATTCTGCCACTGCATGCCTGTAGTCCCAGCTACTTGGGAGGCTGAGACAGGAGGATCGCTTGAGCCCAGGAGTTTGAGGTTGCTGTGAGCTAGGATGACGCCACGGCACTCTAGCCCGGGCAACAGAGTGAGACTCTGTCTCAAAAAAAAAAAAAACCTCTGCCACTTACCATCTTTGAAACTCTCTATAAATCTAAAATTAATTCAAAAGTTTAAAAAAGAGAAAAAAAAACCCTGCCATTTGCTACTGTGTAGTTGTAGTAATTCAAGACATTTAATCTCTTAGACCTCAGTTTCTACATTTGAACAATAGAGATTATACAGTCTACACCAAAAAATTGTTAGGAAGGAGAACAAAGTTGCCTAACTGGAGCCCCTCAAGAGTAGCTTTCTGTTTAGTTTTTCAACGGGTATTTTATAATACATTCAATTAGAAAAGTGTAATAATTTCCCCTCACTCTAAACCTTGATTAATCAATGCCTAGCTAGACCTCTATATATAATAATTTATTTTCTCAATACATAAATGTCATGATGCTGACCACTTACCACAACCATAAAGCACCACTGCAAACAACAGGAACAAACAAATCCCAAGTCGGGCATTGTAGCTCAGGCCTAAAACCCCAGCGACTCTTGGGGCTGAAGCAGGAGAATTGCTTGAGGCCAAGAGTTTGAGACCAGCCTGGGCATAATGAGACTCGTCTCTAAAAAAAAAAAAATTAGCCGGGCGTGGTAGCACATGCTTGTAGTCCTATCTACTCGGGAGGCTGAGGCAGTAAGATAGCTTGAGCCCAGGAGTCCAAGGCTGCCATGAGCTATGATCACACCACTGCTCTCCAGCATGGGTGACAGACAAGACCCGTCTCTTAAAAAAAAAAAAAAAGTGTCACTGATAAAGCAATAAAAATTATTAATTTTATTATACTCAATGTTTCTGTCAAGAACATTTTTAATACTCTGTGATTATTCTTTAGGATGAAATGGGAAGTACTCAAAAGCGCTTCTACATACTGAAACATAAGAGCTGTCTTGAGGGAAAACACTTGTGATTTCTGTGAGAGCTGAATTAGGTGTTTTTTTATAGAACACCATTTTTAGTGCAAAAAATGAATAATAAACTATGATTATTAAGATTTGATGCAAAAATTAGTATTTTGAAAATGTGTTTGACACTATGAGCTTGTCAGCTTCCCAATTCTTACAAAGACTTATATGATGAGATGGACAGAAACAGTAACAATTATATAACTACATTTTTTGGCCGGGTCTGCCACCACACCTGTAATCCCGACACTTTGGGGAACCACCTAAGGCCAGGAGTTCAAGATCATCCTAGCCCTGGTACAGTGGCTCACATCAGTAATCCCATATACTCAGAAGGCTAAGACAGGAGGATGGCCTGAGCCCAAGTGTTCCAAGCTTGAGTGACAGAGCAAGACCCTGTCTCTACTTAAAAAAAATAATTGCCAGCATTTGGAAGATCTACATAACTCAGTAAGCCAATAATTTCCAAATGACTAATCATGATGTTATAAAATCATGCATGAGTAAAGATCCAAAGTGCAAGACAGACCAAGGAATTTTAATATAACACAGTACAAAAGTTCAATGACATGGTTTCAGATTCCATACTGTAACAAAACTTTAAAAAGGTCTGCTGCAGTGTCAAAGAAGAATAACTACAATCCGAAAAGGATATTAAGACACACCTCCCTTTTCCAACCACATATCTGTAGGAGGCTGGGTGATTTAACCATATCACCCATCTGAATACAGAAGATTGGTACATACAGCCGTCTTCTATAGAGCCAGGCTTCTCAATAAATTTTAAAGGTAGTTTCATAAAATTATTTATGTTAACACGAGTTTGTTTTTTGAATCAACATGTCTTTTTTTTTCTTTTTCTTTTGTTTGAGACAGAGTCTCACTCTGTTGCCCTGGGTAGAGTGCAGTGGTGTCAGCCTAGTTCATAGCAACCTCAAAACTCCTGGGCTTAAGCAATCCTTCTGCCTCAGCCTCCCAAGTAGTTGGGACTACGGGCATGCGCCACCATGCCTGGCTAATTTTTTATATATATATTTTAGTTGTCCAGCTAATTTCTTTCTATTTTTAGTAGAGACGGGGTCTCACTCTTGCTCAGGCTGGTCTCGAACTCCTGAGCTCAAACAATCCATCTGCTTCGGCCTCCCAGAGTGCTAGGATTACAGGCGTGAGCCACTGTGCCCGGCCAAGACCTTGATTTCTTATTAATATATGCCAAAGAAAGGGAGGCTACCATAGAAATGAAAGGAGAAACTAAACAAAGGGACTCTAGGACTCAACTTTTCAGCTTCCCAATACCAGATCTTGAACATTTAAGGGCTTTTCATGGATAATTTATTTTAACAAAATGCAATGTATTAACTGATTTTACGAGCAAACACTAAGCAAGAAAAAGGTAGGATTTTACTAAAATATTTGAAATGTTTTCACTAGAGCAATGGTCTCAATCAGGGCAATTTTGACATATTCTTGAGACATTCTTGACTGTTACAACCTGAGGTGGAGGTGTTATGGGTATCTAATGGGTAGGGGCTAGGAATGCTGCTAAACATCATATAATACACTAAGAGAGTCTCCCACAATAAAGAATTATTTGGTCCAATGTGTCAACAGTGCCAAAGCTGAGAAATCTTGCTCTAGAAACATACTATGCCAAATACTTAGGGTCAACTGCAAATACTTAGGGTCAACTGCAAAGGATGCACCAAAGTCTCAGGAAATGTTTACCTACCTTGCCTCTAATACATATTGTAAAATCTCTAAATTTATTAATCCCCCAACCTTTCAGCAAATTTCGTAATTAACATATGGTCTCTTTATTAGAAATTAAACATCAGTATTAGTATCGTTTACTTCCTAGATTAATTGCCACCATATCAATATTACAATAAAATAATATAACCAATTTTTTCCAAGCTGTCAATTTGGTTTCCTAAAAATTCTACTTGCTCTTAGCTATCTGGGAGCTAACAGACATGAATAAAGTCAGGTACCAAAGTACCATGTAACATATAAACAGCATGGGTCCCCTTATCTGGGCCCCATATTTTGGGAGCACACCAATACCCAGACTCTTCATTGACTATTTTTAGGCTTAACTCTTCCATATTTGTTTATTCATTCAAGCAAACACACTTACTGAGGGCCTACTACATGCCAAGCAACCTGACTACAAAGATAAGACAAAAATATTTTACCACAGTCTAATAAAAATACAAATAGCTAAAATACAAAATGATATGTGCTATAAATAGAAGTATCAAGTTAGTGTTATGGAAGCTTGCAGGGTAGAGAATGCCAAAAAAGGCTTCTCAGAAAGACAGGATGCTTGAACTGAGAAAATGTCACAGAAAACATACCCTGTTCACATTTACTATTTAGACTACAGTTCTCTTCTGCACTACTAGTTTTCAATGTATGCTATGTCATCTAAATAAGGGCAGAGTGACAATCTGATGTGGCAACTAATTCAGTTTCATCAAATCTTAATGGAAAGTCAAAAAATAATTTTTTCTATTTCCCAGTACTTCCTGTCCAACCTCTGGTTTTGCTTTTTAAATATCCTACCTTCTTCCACCAAATAAACATACTGTCACCCAGTTCTAATGTTTCTTTCCCAATTTATAAGATTGTCACAGGGAAATGATTCTCTCTTTTCTTTCTTCCAGTTAGCTTCTTCCTCCAAAACAGAGTTTAATTTCCTCACCTTGTCTAGCACAAAACTTCACTTTGAATTCTGTACCTGAGAGGAGCCCTGAGTTCCAAGGTACAACACAAAGACGTGACTGCTGTCTAGCTTTCTAAATTTTGTGAATGTTTCCTGCTTTCTCTTCCAGTACTTTTGTAGGTCACTAACTGGACTTTCCTCCCAGTAGCAGACACAAGTGAAAATTCAGATTTAGAAAGAGAAACTAGCCAATGACTCGTCGTTTTATTGATTTGTTTCAACATCACTGACATTCTTTAACCAACTTTTAAGTAAAGTTTAGTTCTTGACGTTTAAGTTAGGATACCACTAATGACGGTTCTACCTTACCCTGAGCTGGTAGCAACTAAATCGGAAACGCTATTGAAGACTAAATCTACTCTAACTACCAAATGTACCCGCCCCACCGACGCCTCAAAGGGAATCCTTAACAATGGGAGACTAAAACATTCAGGGAAGGTGAAATAGTAGGAAAATTTCGAGACTTGAGTCAGGCTATCTGGCTATCTGGCTAATCCTGTCTCTTACTCCAGGTCTTGGTTTCTCCATCCATAAAACCTGACTTCATTTCTAGGTCCTTATGGCAACAGTAATCCAGAAACCCAATCTTTCTCTTCATCTGGCTTTACATGGAATACATCAGAGAACAGGCAAGAACCTTTTACTCCACTGATCCGACCCAAATTCTCAGGTTTTATCTTCGAAAGCTAACAAACTTCCGACTGGCGCACCCTAACCCTGGGGCTGCCCATTTCCCTTAGGGAAAAAGCCTGGCAAATAAAGCCCATGCCGCACGACGGTCAAGGAACTGCGGAGACCGTATTCAGGGTCTTAAGGAGCTGCCCCCAAAAAGGCAGGCCCACCGTTGGCTCCTAATCACCGCTGAACTAATGAATGAGTACAGATAGATGGACGCTCCCTCAGCGCGGGCTCCAACTGGAAACCCCGGGCCTAGACCCACCGACGTCGATTCCGTCCCAGAGCCAAAAGAGCCAAGCCTCGGGCCGCAGGGTCGCGGGTCCCGCCCCTCCCTCAGGCCACAAGGTGCGCGCAGGGGAGCGAGACTTCGGAGCTGAGAGGGCCTGGGATGCCCCGCGCATCCGCCCGCCCTGAGGGGAGGAGGAGCCTGCCGGTCTGCGGCCGCCGTCGCCGCTCCGGCTCCCGACTTACCGCGGTGCGGTGGGGAAGAGGAAGTGTCAGGAGCGAGGGCCCAGGCCCGTCCGCCACCCGCCGCTCACAGAGCAGCGCGCGGCCCCCACGAAACCGTCGCCGCCGCCACCGCTACCGACCCCAGCTTCGGGCGCAGCGCGTAGAGGGCCCGACTGCGTCACACGCCGCCCACCGTCAGAGGCTCGCTCTGGGCGCTCCGCCCTTGCTGTCTGCGCATTGGCAGATGACGCCGCCACTCTAGGCCCACCCTGTTATTCATTGGGCAACGAGTCTTTTGAAACCGAACGTGAAGGCGATCTCCGGGAAAAGGGGTGAGAGGGAAGAGGAGGGGCAAAAGGAGTTACGGGGAGGAAAAGGGGAGGGGCAGCAGAAGGGACGTGGAGTCCCGCCCCTCAGCGCCGCAGTTGGCTGGGAGCTATTCGTGACGTCACACAGGCCCCTGGAAGTGCGCTGGTGAGTGGCTAGACTGGGGAGCACACGGCGGGGTGTGGGAGTAGAGTGGTGACGCTATAACGAGACTCCGCCCCCTTCCTGCGTGCGGAGAGACTTGGGCTGCGGGAGCTCGGGCCAATCAGAGGGAAGCCCCGAGGATGGCATGGTAACTCTTCAACCCTTTCCTTGCCCCAGCGCGCGGGCGGTCATGGGAAGGTTTTCTGGCTGCTCTGCCAGCACTTCTTGGCCGGGCCACGTGCGGAGCTGAGCACCCTCTGGGGGTGGGCGGGCCGTCTGTCCTCATAGCTTGTCTGCGACTGCTCTGAGACCCTAAATCCCGAACCTCTTCTCTCTTGACCATGCTTGCCCCAACACACTCTTTCCCTGTCTGAATTCCTAGGGTAGACATGAGCATTGGAGATGCCCTCAGGAAATGGCCCCTCTTAGAGCCTAGTACAGATGAGGATTCTTGAAACTTCTTTCCCAGGTGCACGTTGAGAACCCCTACTTATTCTTAAAGGAGTGGTTCAAATGTTTTCACCTTCTCCATGATGCGCTTGCCGACCTTCCCCAGGGAGTTGAGCTAATGCTTGTGCAGGCCTCTGTTACTGCCTTGTCACTTTGTATCCTATTATTTCCCTTTCGGTTTTCTATGCCCCAGGCTCTTGGAGGTCAGAGCTGCATTTTCATCTTCTTGATATTCCGAATTCCTCCCTGGGCCTAGCTCTGAGCAGAATCCTGATATTACAAGAGGAAGAGGTGAGGGTCTCAAACAGAATAGCAGGAGCTGTACTCAGAAAGCAAAGTGCATACAGACTACACCTCCGCCACCATCTCTTCCTGGGACGTCAATACAAAATTGAAATGGGTTTTGTCCAAAACACAGATCAACTTAAATCCTCTGGGTTTTTCAGTGGTAGCGAGGGATTAGAGATAATTGATTTGTTTGTAAAAAACATGAGTTGTTTGCAAAGATGGAATAAGATAGTAGATGGAAGAAACCACACATTGTAGGTGCTCAGTAGATGCTTAAAGGAAGAAAAGAAATAATGTATGAAGCACTGAGCTTGTCAAAAGTGCAAGGGGGTTTCGGTCTAGGTACAGTTGCTTTTTGCACAAAGATCCAGTTATTGAGACAAGGAGTATTGCCCACAGACGTCTTGCCAGAATGGGAGAAGCTGCCTCAAATCTCTCCTACTAAGGGAGATCATGGGCTTTTAAAGGAGGGGCCACTGTGCCTTAGGGCAGGTCGAGATGTATCTCACAAAGGACTACATGCAGCTAAGCGAGGTGGCTCAGGTCTGTTATCCTAGTACTCTGGGAGGTCAAGGCAGGAGGATCCCTTGAGCTCAGGAGTTGGAGACCAGCCTGAGCTAGAGTGAGACCCATCTCTCCTAAAAATAGAAAAATTAGCCGGATATGGTGATGTGTGCCTATAGTCCCAGCTTCTCAGGAGGCTGAGGCAGGAGGATCGCTTGAGCCCAGGAGTTTGAGGTTGCAGTGAGCTGCGATGATGCCACTGCACTCTACCCAGGGGGACAGAGTGAGACTCTGTCTCAAAAAAAAAAGGGCTCCACGCATTGGGACACAGTTGTGGGGGATGATGAATCTTGCCTTCAGGAAGTCTGCCCAGGGGCTTTTAGAATCTCATCTCAGTTGTCCTGCACAAAATCCACCATTTCTGGGAAACAAGTCAAAAGTTCAAGTAGTTAATTTAGAGAGAGGATTATTTGGGGGTCATTGAAATTTTTTCAATGGGTGCCCAGTTACAAGCTTGTGGCTCCACTGATGAGCTTCCCTCCACACTAAAAATTAATATACGGATGGACAAATTGTAAAGCTAGTTTAAACATCTGACTGCAGTCACCTGCCTCCAAACACCCCTCCCTTCCCACCACTCTACTTTGCCTTTACTCTACTCAAGAAAGGCATTAGCTCTCCCTGGATAGTTACAGTAACTTCCTTGCTGCCCTCCTGGACCTTTGATTTCTTGCCCTTCAATCCTCAAACCCAACTATGTTTAAGCCTCTCCTCTACTTACTTATTTTGGTATCTCTAACACAAGGCATATAGTGGGTGCCCCTTAGATTTTTGATGCATGAATGAGTGAATTATTTCCTTCAGTGGGAAATAGTAGCAGAAGTATTGGACTTTGGAGTTAGAGAACCCTGGGTTTAAATCTGAACCCAATCATGTATTAGCTAAATGAACTTGGACAAATTTCCTAGCTTCTCTGAACCTCAATTTCCTTGTATGTAAAATGGGTATAACAACTGTATTTGCCACACAGAGTTGTTGTGAGAATTAAATGAGATAATATATGTAAAGCACTTAGCATAGTACCTAGTACACAGTAAGCCCAACAATAAATGATATGTATTCTTTAGAAATGTCAAGGAGTTCCCATTCTAAATATTCTAAGACATGGATTCTGACACAGAAAGGGGGCTCAGAAATACATCTTTTTCTTTTCTTTTGCTAAAAAATGGTTCTGAAAGAAATATGTCTTGAGTGAGTAAGCAAATGAATACATTCAGTCCAAAGTACTAGTAGGTGTGCAACAAAATAGTGCATGCTATAGAAAGACCAGAGGAGTACACATTGGATGAGGAATGCTCCAGGGAGGAATTTCCTGTGACCTTCATGATTTCTAAGGAGATCTTATTAAGTACTCTGGTAAGCATGTGGCCCACAGGTCATCATTTCCAGGAACTCCTGACTGGTGAAGGACATCTTTATGGAATCAGAGGTTCCTGGCCCACCTACTCCTACTCTAATTCTCATAACACATCTTTCAGTTATCATCATCTTCCTTCTTCCGCTCTGAAGACAAAGAGTTTGGTGCATGCTCACAAAAGTTTGCTGAGCCAAGCTTTGTCCTAGGCATTAGGAGCCCAGAGATGTGCACAGCTCAAAACTTGCTCTTGTCAAGAAAGAGCTAAGGAAAGTCCAGCTCTGTCCTAGGAGCCACCCATGACTTGAGAACTCACTGTATGCAGCTATGAAGGATTGGTGCTCAGGGAGGAGATAGACCTGTAAGGACTACAAAATAATGGAAGGGCAAGAGACTTCCTTCCAGAGTGATGGTTCTAGATTTCCTATATGGTGCACTGGAAGGAGCAGCAGAGTTGGAGTGAAACAGAACTAAGTTCAAGTCCTAGATCTGCTACTTTTTATATCTTGCACAAATTATTTAACTATTTTGTGCCCCAGTTTCCTTCTCTATGAAATAGATACAATACTTTGTATTTTGTAAGGTGGTTGTGAAGGTCAAACGGAATTTGCAAAGATTGGGCACTGTTTGGCCCATAGCACTCAGGAAATGTTGAGTCCATTCCTCTTTTCATATAACTTGATAAGAAAGGGTGAGGTTTATAAATAGCATATAATTGCATTTTTAGAAATCCTATGTGAATACCTTTGACTTTTAACTAGAACATTTAGTCAATTACATTTAATGAATTTCCTGGTATTGTCAGGATTTTGTCTAACATATTATACTTTGTATTTTGTCCAAACTTTTCTGTTTCTTTTTCTTTCTTTCTTTCTTTTTTTTTTTTTTTAATTTTTTTGAGACCAGG